TGAAAACATGCAGTTGATTGAAAAAATGAGGCACCACATCACAAACAGGTATAGCTAGGTTTTGTGACATACTTCCATATATTAAAAGAACAAATTAACTCTAAAAAAGGCATTTATTATCAGTTCCTTCAAACACTTAAAACATTTCTTTTGGTCTGAGCTTAACTCTGAATCACACAGGTTTTCCCTCTTGTTATCAGACATCTCATCTTTTAAAATAAGCTGTCTTCAGAAATGGTTCTAAAATATCCAAGTATAATTTAAGACAAAACAAATTTTTATTTTATATTGTTTGTATTACTATATAATAAAAGCATAATTAAAAATTTATTTTAGGGGAGATGGGTTTTCATTTAAGACATCTATAAAATGTGTTCTATAAATAGAAATTATTTATAAAAGTACAAACTACAAGAAACCAAAGGAAAGATAGAAATAGATATTTTTAAATATTAGGCCTTATCTTAATATATAGTTAAATTTGAAAAGCGAGTTCACCGCTTTTGTCATTTTGGTTATCAATAATTACATCAAAAGGACTGAGAAACTCTGAAAGGCCATAGGATTTTATCTAGGATTGTGGTATATATTACTTCTCTTTTGTAAGTTTACTGTTTAGTATATTCCTTTGCAATTTAGTTAAGCCTTTAACTTAGACTTAACTATAGTCTTCCTTGGAAAGTGAAATACTTGTATATTGTGGTCACTGTGTATTGCTATCTTACAAATAAATAGTATTTGTTTTCTTAGAAAGTGAGGCAATACATCTGCATCTGGCTGCAGGCACGCATGCACGCACACACACAGGCACAGACCACACGCACTCATGCACACACACAAACACACAAAATCTTTTCAAACGCAAGTAAAGGTCTCTAATAAAACTCTGGTGACAGACATGAAGCACTCAGAAGAATTCTCAGCAATCAAAAAGATTCTGGATGTGAGCCCCAGATGAAAGACACTATACTATAGGTGGGAGGTCTGGGGATTTTTGGAGTCTTCAGAAGCGAGAGGTTTACAGATTTTTCTAACACTATGGCTGAGTCTCTTTTGTCTTCACTTTGCTTCATTTCCCTTCACCTTAGTTTACTCTCTTTTCTTACCATAACTATTTTAAAATTTTTTCAAAACTGCAAATTTGCTATTGCCACCCACCATCATACTACAAGCTGTAAAACCTCTCAGTGAGTGATATATGTATCTCTAACAAATGTTCCAATGATGTATTCATTAAAGGAGTTAAAGTAATATTGACCAGATATGATGAAATCAGTGATTGTGAACATTTTTTTCTTAGAAATTCTGTGAGATGACTTTGAAATGTCATCAATATCTCATCTATGAGTGATAGTATTATTTTTAAACATCTCTTCAGAAATCCTTAATATAGTTTACAAATAGTTTTAAAGAGAAAAACGACACAACCCTCTTTTTATCTCCCTGACATTACTGAGGTTGTATTTAGTTTCCAGAAGAATGATAATGAGGAGAACCAAGAGTATTATGTATAAAGATAATGCAAAAGGACTAGTCTGAAGGCAGAGTGATGTCTCACTCATTTGACTGTCAGAGCTATGGAGATATCTTAAATTAGAAGGAGTCATTTCAATTGATGAATCTAAAGAGAAAAGGAATCTATCAGCTTTAAAGAGAAAAAATTACTAGTAACTTCGATTCTCATATAGACTATTATAAAATAAATTAATATAAATTATAAAGAACTGAGTGGCTATTTTCATAAGCAAAAACTCAATAGTCACATATAAAAGTTTGAAAAATATTCTATCATGAACATTCTTGTTTTTTTTTTAAAGGGAGTCTAAAGCCCCAGATCTACTACACCACCCATTCTTTTATTTATAGTTAAATATGGTTGCATACAACTGTTTATGATTACTTCTAGTTGATTCCCTGGGGATCAACCAGGGGAGTTAGAGTCCTGATATCAGTCTTATTCAATGGTAGTAGTAGCAATGAGTGCTACTTTGTGTCAGGCACTGTTCAGAGAATTTTACAGGTATTACTTCATTCAGTTTTCATAAAAAACCTTTTGAGGTAAGAAGTATAATTATTTGTATTTTAAACACAAGGAAACTGAGGCACAGAGAAGGTAAGTAACTTTCTCATGGCCACACAGGAAGTATGAGGTTCAGCTAGAATTCAAATACTGGCATTCTGAGTAGAGTGCATACCACAGGCTAGTTATAGCCATCACAATTCTTTCTGCTTATGGAAGATTACAGAGTTTAACAAATTAAAGATGAGACTCATTATATGAGTTATTTAATTAATTTACTTCTAATTAAACTAAAAGGAGAAAAGCATAAGGTATGTCTCAGCGGTTGTATTTTTGTCAAAAATACAGTAGTTTTAGTTTTTGATAATGGTGAAAAACTAAGAATATCACAAATATGTATGACCACTATCTATTTTGAAAATTCTGATTTTCATATAGCAAGTAAGACCTTTTAAAAAAAATAGTAAGTTTATAATATTGTCCCTGAGTAATTTTTATATATAGGTAATACATCACAACATTTAAGATGCTAAAGTACAGCTATATTATTAATCTGATATATTAAATGGTGTAAGTCAAACCTGAGGGATTTATTCTTATTTTGTTGGAATTTTACTGTACCAAGTATTGATTTAAAGAAGTTGGCCACTGAAATAAATGTCTATACAGACAGTTCTTGGCCTGTGAGCATTGGTGGCATGGGATTGGACCTCTTGTTTAGTGGCTTTAAAGCTTCCCTGAATATTTTATACCAACCATGATTTAGTCATGAAACAACAATTTTCTTTGTTTTCTCTGTAAAAGAAATATTAAGTTTGTCTACGTGTGATAGGGGAAATATATGGCCTCAAAGGGCATATTAGAAGCCCTAGGGGATAGATACTTCAGTTTGTTTCCTGGTAAGAAATATCCCTCACTCTGAAAATCACTGTGAAGAGATGAGGTTTCTGAGGAGAGTGTGCCGTCTACCTCAAGAATGTTGGGGCTGAAAAAGACTGAAAACTATTGGTATTGTTAATATAAGGATAAAGTAACTCCCCCACCTACCCCCCACTCCCTGCAAATTAAAGGCAAACTATATTTGCAGTATTTTCATTTTTATAACTTTCCTTAAGAAGGTTCCAAAGGGGCTTTTTATTGCTTCTAGATCTAGGGGTTGCTTCTCGGGTCCATTTTGGGAGGAATTATACACCTGTAAATTTCTTCTCTGCAAAATATTTAAATAAGCTAATAATTAATATCTAGTTAAATCATTTCATTAGCATCTACTACAGAGGTCTGACAAACTCTCTTACTTCTTTCACATTAAAATTTGTTTAGAAAAAGAAAACCCTAATAAAAAATGAGCTATTTAAAAGATACTGATATGTTCTTCATTTTAATAAAGCAAGTTTCTGGCAAACTCAACATATTTTTTCCAACCTTTTCCAGATAGCTCCTACAAGGTAGTCAAACTGTAGAAATGTCTACAGTATTGGTTGAGAAACAGTATATTTCTGGATCAAATGAGAATAACAAAAAGCAGCATACCTGGGTCTTTTGAATGAATGCTTTCATGAGTTGTATTTTGGTGTTGGCCCTTTGGATTACATTGAAAAATGCTAAAAGCACAGCCTTTCAAAGTCCATTATTACATTTACTCTTAGGATATTATAAGACAACTGACTGTTCACTAGACCATTCAGTGGTCCTCATTTAAGAGCCAGGAGGCAAATTTCCTTCAAATTAAGTGCTAGGAAAAGTTTTCTTCTCCTTAGAAGAGCTGGTATTTTTTTCCCCCTTAAGGACAACCATTTAGCTCAGTGTTTCTCAGCAGGGTGTTATGGCATTTTAGGCAAAACAGTTCTTGGCATGTGGAGTGTTATCCCCTTAAACAATAATTGAGTATCTCTGGCCTCCACACATTAATGCCAGTTGGGCACTTGGTCATTGCAACCACTCAAACTGCCCACACACATTTCCAAATGCACTAGTTGAGAAAACAATAAATAAATTGTTTATTTCCTTTGTTTTGTCTACTAGGAAACTCAATCAAATTTGTCATTAAAAAAAAAAAAAAAAAAAACCTGGGTAAGAACATCATGTCCTATATATCTGCATTTTAACTTCCTCCCAGTCTTGAACTTCCAGTTTAATTTATGTCTCCCTTGGTCCTGAATTTCATTTTGTATTCTGATTTTATTGTTAAGACGATCCAAAATCCTTTACTGAATCAAATAAACAAAGACAGCTTGAGAGTTCAGAAGTATTCGTTAGAAGCTTTTATTTATTTATAAGAGCAGTACTAACTTGAAATAAAGTACCACTGTATAAGGTATGCATTTTAAACTTCTACACATAAAGTGATAGGAAAACTACTCAGACACTTAGCTCTTAGAAATTAATGAAGGATAATAAGACAAAAAGAAAATGACGTTTTAAAACCTTTGACGTTTTAAAACGTATCAATAAATATCACATTTATATAAAGCTTAGTTCTATATAACAGCAATTTTAAATGTGAAGAGTCTATAGGAAATATTTATCACTTTTAACACTATAAAAATCATTTTGCTAAAAAAAAAACAAATTCTATATAAAGCTAGTTTTGTGTCTGCCTTCATTTTAGATGAAAAATTTTGGAGGAAATCTAATCATACACTTCTCTTTTTCCATAGGAGCAGAAGTGGTCTTGATTCTGATTTAACTGCCCGATTCCCTCAGATTCCTCATTTTTGGCAAACTTTTCCTGAGGGATACTATGAATCAACTCACCATTATTACATTTAGATATCAATCTGTCTTTTACTATAAAACATCTTCACTGACTACAGTGCCCCAAATAGTATTGTTTTTTTTATACTTATTTATATGTCACAATCTTAGCAGCTACTTTTGAGGGAGTATTTAGAGATCTTACTGAGTAATTTCTATGAAAATGAGATAAACTGAAGATAAAAACTAAAAATGAGATAAAAATATTACTCTACGTGCTTCTTACCTTAGAAATACAAACAGCTATGTTAGCAGGAAGCTGGGAAAATTGCTTCAATTCAAATACATCACGTGCAGCCCATCGGCTCATGTGATTTTCGGCTTTGCTTGATCCAATCACATTCTGGTTTGAGTGAATGTAAGCCACTTCTCGAACACCATCTACAAGGTAATTGATGTTTATTCAGTGATGTCTCATTATGAAGCAATATGGTTCCATATATACTTTAAAAGTTAGAGGCAATACACTAAAAAAGTTATGCTTGTTTTGTTTTTAATCCTCAGGAAAAACATTCAGTTTGCTAACATCGCAACATTCTTTTAAAAAAAAACAGTTCAAATATGTTGGTCTAGGTTAACTTGGGAAGGACTTTTCCCTCTTATTAATATGCGAACTTCTGAAATTAGGTGACAATCTTTAGATTTAAACCTGAATTGAAGGTTTTGGCAACAGAAAAGTTATGGTGGAGGGTCATTTCTATGAATTTGTTGTTCCAGTTGATTAAAAAAATAGTTTACTAATTAACAGAGCAGTGCTAGCTTCATCTGTTCTTTTAAACATGTGTTTGATTACAGTGATAGAGTGGGAGCATGGGGTTTATGACCAGGGAGTTTAGTTTGGTTGGCTTGTTCGGTTTTACTGTTTGTATTATGTCTTTTTTGTACATATGCCCAGAGAATGTCAAGATTGGGAGGAAATTTAGGAAATGAAAAAAATTAACTTATAGCTTTTATCCAAAAGAAGTTTAAAAAATGACTATATTTTTTATTGCTTTGCTTCTAGGCACCTATAATTTACTTTTAAATTGTGGTCATAAATACAAGGCTAGAACTAAGGTCTGTAAAAGTTCCCTCAAACAGCTCTGGCAATGAACCTTGATTATGACCTTCAACACGTGTAGTGTTTCCAGTCCTGAGTTTCGCTCAACCAGAATTGCCAATCATGCAAAAACAAGATGACGTTAAATAAGATGAGTGAAAGAGCAACTAAGATAATATTCTCCTTACATTTCAAGACACCAGGGGATGTGTATGGTAATAGTATATTTTCTACTATAAATATCACAGAGAGCAACTAGAGAGCAAAACCAAAATGAGATGACAAGATACCCCCATGAGCTCTAAAATAACAACAAGTAGTTGGGGACAACCCACTAACAGCTACACACTCTGCGTGGCATAAGGGTCTTGCACGGAGGAAGAAGGAAGTAACAGGACAGCATCTGATGGATCTGAGAACAGGGACCCCAGAATAGCTAAAATGCTTTCACTGGAAAACACAATGGGAAAATTGGAGACAGTAGCTGAATCTGGGAAGGTTTTCTGCTCTCCAATGCTGAGTGGGTGGGTGCAGGAGGCTTGAGGTAAGATGTCCTGAGGAGATGGAGCAGGCTAGCACTGAAGAACTGTCCAAACTGACCCACCAGGGCTCCCAGGTCAGGGCCACAAGGTGGGGAAAAACTGGTGAATGTCAAAATTAGCAGGACAGGAAGAACAGGGATGAGGAAAAGAGAAGGTCTAGAGCAAGGTAGGGAAGAGGGAGAGAGAAACACTATACAAAACCGCAGATATGGATCTTTGTGAAGTTAGAAAAATGTCCTAAACTCTGCCTTACTTTAAAAATTCAGAGAAAATAATTTCTACATAAATAAGAAAAAGGATCAAATCTCATAAAAATTGTTATAAAAGTAAAGAGAATAAGCAACAGAATTTATCCCTACAATGAAAACATGCCAGAAATATTTGCTAACAAAACAGATGAAAATTGCAACTGATTTCAAAATGAGGTAAAAGACTTTAATAAATGATAAAATACAAGAACCAACAACATAAGTCAGAATTAAAATAACCTAGAAATGAGTGCCAGAACTCAGGAAAAACTTAGAAATTAAAAACATTATTTCAGAAATGAAGACTAAACTAGAAACATAAGGAATAAATCAAATAGATAATGCTTTAAGAGAAAGGAGAAAACTTTTAAAAAGTAAAAAGACATGAAAATGAGATAAAAAGGATTTGAGAGAATGTGACAAAAATTTTGAGGACAGGAAAAGAAGATTGAACATATAAATAACAAGAGTCCCTGAAGAAGAAAGCCAAAGCAAAGGGATAAAACAAGTAACTAAAAACACTAGTACAAGAAAGCTTTTCCAAAATTAAAACTGAGTTGAAACTAGACTTTGAGAATACTGACCCAGAATAACCAACATTGCTTTGGAATGAGTTTTTGTTCCTTCGTAATACATATGTTGAAGTCCTAAATTCCCAGTGTGATGGTATTTGCAGTTGGACTTTTGGGAGACAATTAGATCATGAGGGTGGAGCCCTAATGAACAGAGTTAATGCCCTTATAAGAAGATACAGGAGAGAGATGATTTCTCTCTCCACCATGTGAGGATACAGCAATAAGGGAGCCATCTGCAAACCAGGAAAGGGGCCCTAAACAAGAACCTAACCTGGCATCATGTCCCAGCCTCTAGAACTGTGAGAAATAAATGTTTAGGCCATCCAATCTATGGTAGTTTGTTATAGCAGCCTAAGCTGACTAAAACAAACACCAAAACACAATCTGGTAAAATTACTGGACAATAATGAAAAGGAAAAATTCCTATGGGCATCTAGGAGAAAAAAATAAAGAACACATGACACAACACTTCATGCCAGAAGAAAATGAAGATATGTATTTAAAATATTTAAGAAAAGAAAGTGTGAGCCAAGGATTTTATATTCAGCAAAAACGACTTAAGTATAAGGGCGCATTGTGTTATCAACAAGAATCAAAAACAGGGAATATTATTCCCATGAGCACTTTCCAAGGGATCTGCTAGAAAATAAGCTTCAGATGACCAAAATGACTTAAGAGACACTGATATAAGGACTCATGGGGATCGATAAATTTATATTTACCTGCAAACCAAGAATAAACTAAGTCTAAGGGGGAGAGTATATAATTCAATGTCTGCATGTCCTGACACCATAGACATAGAATATCCATTTTCGAAATAGGAAGAAATAGAAGAGTATTTGCAAACAAACAAACAAACAAACAAATCCTAATGTTTCCGGGAATCATAGTGTAGCAGTATTGGTATTTTTATTCTTTGACTTTTATACAATATGGGATAAAACTAATGAGTAATTATGGGACACTATAATTAAATCATTCCCTATATGCTTAAGAACCAGAATTACCATTATGGAGGAAATGGTACAAAAATGTGACAGAAAAGAAGTTTAGTAAAATCTTTATACTCTCGTATTAAGTATCGATATAAATATGGAAATATCAACATAAACACATAGTCTTTTATCATGATATATAAAAATATATATGCACATATATATAAACATATGCATATACACATATAAAATATATACACATGTGTATACATGCATGCACACGTGCACACATACATACATATACACAACATATAATCTGTCCACTGAAAAAGTCCAGAAATAATAACTAAGCAAGTAGTAGCAATGACCATTCCTAGCAAAAGACTGTGGTCTTGAATCACAGTTTCCCCCTAAAAGACTTCTTGGAGAAATGACTAATTCTAGCTCTGGGGCAGAAAATGTATGAGATGATCCTGGAACATTTTGTAATACTAAGTAGCAATCAAAGATGACTAGTGTCATGTCAAAGGGTCTCAGGAACCAAAATGCTCATGTCCATAGGCTCCTGCTCTCCAAAGAGCCAAATGAGCCTTAATAATGATATTAATTGCAATAGATTGAGATCCATTAAATATCTTTGAATCACTAAATTCATCCTCTAAGGATGATAGGGAATCGATTTATACTAAAAACTGGTAAAGACAGGAATTATGTTCCCTGCCTTTTCTATATGAACTATAACACTGGGTAAGTAACAGTAGATATAAGTATCCTTTTACGAAACATTCTAATTCACAAATGAAAAAGAAATAAGAGTAGAAAACATCATTTTCCTACTCTGGATAAATAGTTACAGGCATTTAAGCATCAATGGTTGCCAAAATAATAGAGAGACCAGTGACATTTTGTGCCTCCCATACTTTTGCCAAACACTAACTTTCGTCTTGTCAAAGGAATAAACCTGAATCTGAAATAGTCTCTGATACCGCTAATTTGTAGCAAATATGGAGGGCAAAGGAATATGTTCAGTACATAAAGAGTACACAATTAGCAAAATGCAAATTGAGGAAAACTCTATAGATGGTACAGGTTCTTTAGCAGATAAATTATAAGAAAATAAAAGGGATAAAAAAGGAATACTACAGATTAAAAGAGACTATATAAAAATATTTTTAAAAATGAGACTAAAGTGTAATATCTAGGGATACACGTTTGTGTGATAAAATCATAAAAATGCAAAAAAGTGATTACTATACAAGTTTGAATTCGTATTTATGGGGATTGAGGGGCTGTGATTCAGATGGGGCACATAAAGGAGGCCCTGGGAGAGATAACAAAGCTCTCTATCTTGAGCTAGCTGGTATTCCCTTTATCTTGGCCCCCACCCACTTCATTTGTGCTTCAATGTAACTTCCTGATTGAGAGAGTTATTTTATAAGCTAATTCAAAAATCTCTTATGGAACTATTTGCACATAACAAATGAGTAAAGATTTTAGAAAGTATATGTCGTTACCTAAAAATTTATCCATTGATTCATACATCTGCTCTTGATGGACAATACTCTCATTTGAAAATTTCACTGGTTTTCTTGGTACGACAGTGCTATTTTTCTTATGGTTAGGAAATTTTGAAGATAAACCGATTCTCTCTTTTACAGTTTTTGGTCTATGTCTCTGTTTAGAGAAACTGATACGGCTAACAGAAAAATCATCATCTGAGGATGAAAATTCATTAATAGTCTGAGAGTTACAATCTTCATCTGTTGGATATAGTTGGTTTGCTTTCTTCATTGTTTTTTCTCTCTTAAACCTCAAAGAACTAGTAGCTCTTTGTTTTCTTACTCTTGACTTGGAGGATATTTCAATGTCATCTGACTCATCACTAATATCACTACTGCCTTTTCTTTTCATAACAGATTTCGAGGTCATGTTCTCAGGATTTAATTGTTTTGAAATTAGTCCATTTCCTCTGACATCGGTCTTTCTATCATCACCATTATTTCTTATTTTTACAGGGTTTTCTGTTTCAGAATCTATAGATCCATCCATGGGTGGCTTAAACCTTACACTATTCTCAGGGAATTTCTGAGTTGTATATTGTGTGGGAAAGATGACATCACTATCTTCCGATTCTGTGACATTCTGTAAAATGCAATGGTGGTCAGCTGTATTTTTAAAAATGTTCTCATCATCAGACGCAGAAGAAACATTCTCTTCTAAAATCTTCTCACTTTTATCAAAAATACATTTTTCATTTGGATTTAGAATGTTAGATAATGTTTGATGTTTTGAAGTACCAAGAGAGTCTTGACTTTTCTGACAACCAGCATCCTTGTTTTCTGTTGAAAGGCAGGTGGGCTGTTCATCAGAACTTTTATCTTCAGATGTAATATTTTCATCACTATCTTCAACTGATTTACATTTTGTCTCAAGCAATTTCGAGAAACCACACTGGAGTAAGGTGAGCTGTCCAAGAGAACTTGAAGCTTTACTTGAGTCAGATGCTTTGTTTTTAGCAGTCTTTATTCTTGAATTTTCCACTGCTTCATCATCACTAAAATCATTGCAGAGATCACATACTTCTTTTGCCAGAGGTTCTGCAGGTTGTTCTGGACCTCTGTGTTCTTGACAGTCAGGCTCTCTAGGCTACATAGGAAGCAATGACAGAAATATTTGAAAATGTCAAGATCTATCACACTGGAAAGTAATTAAATTTGGACAGATAATTTGTACAAGTATATCACCTGGTATTTTGTAAAAGTATATTTAATAAACAAATATGAAGAATTTAATATTATAGTCTGGTATACTCTTTTCTCTTTTCAAGTTGAATAACTTTCCAAAGTAAGTAAGAATTTAAACTAGAATACCATGTGACCAAATTATTTATAAGAAAAACAGAGCTGAGTGGTCAGCTCCTAAGAGGCTGGGACCAATTCTGGCCTCAAGAGTGAAAAGTATACAACTATTGCTTACTATAGTCTAGCAGATGCATCTAATCATGCTTTAAGAACAAAACAAATTTGTAGGAGTTAGCAAAGTAAAAAATTCACAACTGGAAAGTGGTTCTAACTGATTAGAAACAAAAAGAACAAAAAGGATCTTGACAACTAGAAATAAAGAAAATATTGATATTTTGAAGTAAAATTTGCTACAAGTTTAAATCCAATATTTAAGTTTTTCACATTAGTCAAAGCTAAATATATCCTTCAGTTTCCTTATATTGAGGCTTTATTAGTAAAAGATTTTGGAAAAGTATTATTTAGCAATACTTTTGCCAACATTTGATATTCATGTATTTCTATAATTTAGAAAAATATTCACCCCATATTCTAAATCAATAGGCTATTATAAATTTATATAACTTCCTAAAACCAAACAAGGAAAAACAATAACAAAAAAAAGTCTTCTACATATATTCTTTACTTTTAAAAAGGCCCTTTGATGGCAATATAGATTTTGCAGTATGCGAAATGACAAACTACCAAAAAGATTACAAGATTAAGGACTCAAATAAAATAGCTACTTGAATAAGAAAGTAATTTTGATGTTTGGATTTAATATTCTTAAATACATTTGGATTGCTATTTTGTAGCTTAATTTATTGTTGAGTAAAAAATTATTTAGATTGGATTGATCACCTATACAGTGTATTTAATTTTGGATTTACAGTTTGGTATAGTTAAAATTCTAGTCTAAATATAAAGATATGAGTGCTCCTGAATTTGTTCTTATGATACGAAATGTTAAATTAGCCTAAATTATTAATTTTAGGGACAGTCCTCTGATATTGTGTCCTTGACTTTTTTAAAAAAGACTTTTTCTTTACACATTGGAAAATAAAGGAAAAAGGAAAGTAAACTTAAAATTGTCACAGTACATGTTTTCTAGGAGTTCTGGGTTACAGATTCAAAAATTGCTTACTGTTTCTAGTTTGTGTCCTGGAGGTTCCTTTTTCAACCATGTTGTGGCTGTCATGATCCCTGCTTCCACTTGGCCTTCTCTCTATAAAGAAAATACATAACTGTAAAATATGGAGTAAAAACAACCAGATAAACAACAGCAGTGGAATGCTAAGACTTGAGAGTTAAGAAAGGAACACTGAGTGCAGCTTGCTTAAGCTCTCTTATTTTCAATTTGCCACATAAGGAACTCATATATACTTTATATAACATTTTAAAATATGCTTAATTCTTAATTCTTAGGTAGTAGCCTGCCACAGTGGAAGTGTGCTGGGCCCATAAAATACTCTTATTTCTTATCTTAAAGCTTATTTTTTCAGATAGAAAACTAATAATACTTCTCAGCCAACTCCATTAAAAGCTCTAGTAGGTGAAGGAGGGTGAAAAAACATATATAGACACACAGTAATGAGTCTATAATACTACATCTATATAATAATTATAGTAAGGACATATTACCTATATTTCAAACACCACAGATAATGTTGAGTATTGGGAACTTGAAATTCTAGCCTACATTGCTAGTGTATTTATTGTTCATATTTATTAAAATGTTCATTGATTCTTTAAGTGTAGTAGACATCAAAATGAAAAGGTCCACCCTAAAATAAAACCAAAAGAAAAGGTCTTAATTATATAACAGGTTTGCTACATCTTTGCTTTTGAGAATGTATCTATGCTTTTAGAGATTTTGCTATATCATTTAACATACATATATATATGTAGATATATATATACATATATATAAAAACTAAACATATATATGTATGTTAAATGATATAGCAAAATCTGTAAATATACATATATATGTATGTTAAATGATATATACATATATATATGTATGTTAAATGATATAGCAAAATCTCTAAAAGCATATATATATAATTGCCTAGATTCTAGAATATTAAATTTTACTTCAAAAGGAGATTAATATATTTCTCTTTCTAAGGTTTTATTTGTTGATAGAACAGGGGTAAATAATACTACTATCACCAGAGTTACAAATTTGTATATTCATACAAATTTATGAATATACAGCCATACCAATTGCATGGTCCCATCCATGCAATTGGAATGGCTGTATATCAATACCTGGTATCCAGGGCAACAAGTAAGAATTTCTCCTACAGAACTCTAGAGACTGGTAAACAGTTCCTGAATTGTCAAGAGACCTTTTCTTCCAATGCTAGAAGCCATTACTGCAAGGGAGGGGAGAGTCTCCTTCCTAGCACTGCCATTTATCTTTTTAACAGAAGCTTAACTGGCTACAACAGATCCAACTGGCAGCACCAGAAATCCCTCGTTACCAGAACCCCTTTGTGATAGGTCAATGGCAACTCTAGTCCTCTGCTGCACAGCCCAACATCTTGGAGTCATCCTTAACTCCCCCCTTTTTCTCATACCCTTGATCTTACCCATCACCACTATCACCCTGGCCCAAACCACCATGATCACACAGACGAATCATGGCATTATCTTCCTACTTCGATTCTTGCTTCTACTCTTTTACTTTTACTTCTACAGTCTAATTCTAAATATTTAATCCAGATAATATAGATCAGACTATGCCATTCTTCTGTTCAGAACCCCCAAACTGCTTTTTGTCTCACTTGAAGTCAAAGTCAAAGTTCCTGCATGACCTGGCTTTCTGATATCTCTCTGGCCCCATCTCTTACTCTTTTGCTTATCCCCCTCCAGCCACTCTGAAATTATGCTGGGCATGCTCCTCCTTCAGGGCCTTACTATTTGTTCCTATGTTTAAACCGCATCTTCCTTCCTAGTCTCTTCAAAAGGATCAACTGCAATCTTACGGTGAGAGCTTCCTTAGCTGCTCCATTTACAACTGAAATGCTGTTTCCTTGACAGTCTCCTATTTCCCTTCGCACTCTCATTTTTTAAAAATTGAGATACAATTTACATATAACACTGTACATGTTTAAGGTGTACAACATGTTGATTTGATACATTTATGTACTGCAAAATGATTACTACCTGTGGCTTTAGCTAACACCTCTATCATGTCAAGCAATTATAATTTCTTTTTTGTGTTGAGAACATTTAAAATCTAGTCCCTTGGCAATGTGGAAGTATATAATCCAGTACTATTGACTATAATCACTATGCTGTGCATCAGACTTCCAGAACTTATTCATCTTCTACCTGCTCTATAATAAACTACACGCTTCACTTATTTTTTATTATCTGTCTTCCTCAAATAAAATGTAAATTTTTTATAGGCAAGATTTTTGTCTATTTTATTCATTTCTGTACGCCTAGTTCTATGAACGCTACCTGACATTTAGCATACACACAAAAAAAATTTGTGAAATGAACTCTCAATATCTAACTCTAAAAAGAAACCATGATATAGGTAAGTCGATGAAAAATAGAATTAAATTGCTTAGAAATCATCAGATTAAAAATGTTCTATAAATTCAAATTTCTACATCTTAAAACATTTTAAAAGAGATTTTCTACAGCCTTTAAAAATTAAAAATATATCACAAGAAGTAAAATACTTCTTTTACATTGTGATGTATACTTTATATATATACAATATATATATACATTGTTTGGCAAAAAGCAGCATGAATCTAACTAACCCCGAATAATTTTAAATTCTGGTTGATAACAAATGAGCAATTTTAATTCAATATTTAATAATCGAGTGCCAATGATGTGCTTAGCAAGAAGGTAAGCACATTTTACCACAAACAAAATAAGACATGGAGGGTCCTGTCATTAATAAAGAAACACTACTGGAGGGGACACAGATATACTGAGGATAACCAGAGAAGAAGAGAAATTTCCATTTAATAAGTTGTCATACTGAAATATCTTACCTAACTCTTGTTTAACAAAAGAATAGGTGGCTATTCTCATAAAACGGAAAACTAAATTAATTTGATATATGGAAGAAAACAGGATAAGTAATATAACACTAATATATTTTATAGATAACGATTTCAAATTAGAAACATGAATACAGGTTGGTGTGTTAGGTAGTACTATGAGATGAAGGTAAGATCTGAGGGGGTTCTGGAGGACAAACAAGGTTATCAATTAGAGAAGAGGAGTGGGAAAAACAATTCATAAAAAGTAACAGCATATTCAGAAACAAGAAGAGGGAAGTAAGGGGGACTTTAAATGGGCTACTCGTTTCAGAATCAAAGTTACTAAAAAATAAAAGCTTAGTAGTAAACATCATACATTCTATAACAGTTGTAATATGCACAGGATACTAATAAGATAAACCTTCCTGTTAACCATCCATCAGTGATCACCTGCTAACATTAGATTAGATTCATACTGCTACTGAACTTGCTTAACATATGCTTTCTGATAATACATGTTCATTATGTAAATGTTCTCTCCCATCTTCCATCAAAATGGGTCTAAGTTCTTTAAGGACAGGGACAAATTGTCCTTTGAAGTGTTTTTATTGTACTTACTGAATAGACAAAGTATTTAAGGTTTTACTACAAAGTCCTGAAAGTTAAGGAAAGTATCCTTAACTCCAAGACTGAGTTTCCTCATGATGAGAGGGTTGAAAAAGATGATATTCCAGAATTCTATGATAGCCATATCAATATCAACTAGAAAATAGGTTAATTTCCCTAATAATCTGGCATATTAAAGAATTTAAAAGATTTTTTAAAGGATATAAATATCCTGTTTAAAGAATAAGAAACATCTGTATGCTGAGGATGAACACAACTGGGAGAGTTTGAAATATTGGTGTGGAATTTTTATTGGGAACAGAAAACAAAAATCTCCATGAGACATGAGAGTGCATCTCAGGGAGTATTTGGTAACTTTTAATCAAAACACATTTTATATTTTTGTTTATTTAAGAAAGTCTCTTTTTTTTAGTTCCTGACTTCAACAGCTGTTTTCAAAATAATAAACTTTTCTTTGCCAGTCTGAAAATGGCTTTGTAGGTCACACTATCTACTACATGTATCTGTATTATGTGTATACATTATTTATAACTTTGCATGGGAAAATCTTAGTTTAGAGGTACAACAATTCATTTCTTACTTCTGTAAAAGTAGAAATTCTAAATGTAAGGCATCTTTATGAGGAAAACCAAAAATTTATCTGAAAAGACACCAGCAATTATATTTCAAGCTTCCTGAGGGAGAAAACCATGTTTAAAATATTATTGAAAAGGTCAGAAAACAATTTCACACCTCCAGGATGTCCCTCGTAAGACAAGACCCTTGGGATCTTAGTTTGAAGAGATTATAGACCCCAAAAAGCTCTCCTCGATGCTCTTTTGATCCTTGAACTGCTTCAAAATACCGCTTGGCATTTTCACTTCCAACCACCACACAGTGAAGTTGCTAAAACAGAAAAAACACAAGATATTTTTGAAGTGTTTGCTCCAACAATATGTCAGAATTTCCTGGCATTCCCTGTATATACACAGCTTTAGCTGGAGCAGGCAGAATCTCCTTAGGGAGGAAATTTTATTTTAATTTCCCTAGCAGATGTTGCCATTGTGGTGAAATAATAATAATCTGGCCAATCTTATTGAAGAAGAGATCATATATTTCCTATTTTATCTGTTTCCTACCAACTCAGTCAAGATCACATCTTTAAGGACTATCCACCTCACATAAAAAAATTAAATAACATGGGCATATATTTGGATACACCTTCCTCCTTTCTAGACTCATTACAATAGGAACTATAAAACTGTCAGAAATAATCACTATATTACCAAAGTTAAATTATAACCTGAAGTAATTATATAACCATGTTAGTGTCAAACTAACTGTGGCCATGTTTATACTGTCAACTAACAGCAAAAACCCAATCACTATTTAGAAACATTGTATCTGTGAAACAATTTTGAATACAGAAAGAATACTGACATGGAACCCTTAAGGATATATGGCACTTCAGTATCAACATTAATGTGCCTCTTTATTTACTGGCTGTTCTACTAAATGAAATGTAAATACAATCAGATTAACTCCAGGTACGCTTTAATTTCTTGGAAGAAATAAAGAATACAAAGAATGGAAAACAACTTTAGTCAGTTGTTGATTAGTAAGAATTAGTAAGAAATGATATGTTATGGTGATTATCATTAGAGTTGATTTGCACTGAAATAAATTACTATAGGCAATTATAATTATTCTTAATAGCTGTTACTTATTAAACACTTATTACATGTGTAGCATTTTTACATTCTCTCATTTAATCCCTACACCCCAGTAAGATATTATCTCCCTTTTAGAAATAAAGAAACTATAGTTTCTCTATTTTATAAATAAAATTAGGATTTAGAGAAACTGAGTGCCTTGTCCACAGCTACCAGTTAGGAAGTGTCATTTCTAGAATTTATACCTGGCCAAATCTAAAATTTATACTTGTAATAATTTTTTATCTCCAGGATGTCTCTCTTAAAACAAGGCTCTTGGGACCTTAGTTTGAAGAAGTTATGGATCAACATACCAGCTTAATCAGTTTGATATCAACATCCCAGAAACATGGGCTATAGTCCTGGGAATATAGACTCACAATATCAAATGATGCACCTGATGGCCCAGTTACCTGACTTTACCCTTGCTACTGACTCTAAAGGCAGACTATATTGTCAGACTGCAGAACTAATAAACAGAATCACCAAAGTAATTTCTAAAAGGATTAAATCTGAATCTTTATAAATATTCTACCAAAATTTTATCAAAAACCTTATAAAAGGTGCATTATTTTTTACTTAAAATAAGTTTTTCCAAAGTGGTTCAGGTAAAAGTGAAGGCCAGATCATCCACCTGTAGACTAACTATAGAAAAAAAGTCACGCTGGAATTCAAGAGGGTAGGGGAAACAAAATCAGTAACTGGAAAATGTAGCTTAGCTTTTAGTTTAAAAAAAACTCATACAAGGCTACAAAATACTAGTATTTTGTATTTTGTATGATGAGAGGATTGAAAAAGATGATAGTCTTTACAACAATATACAAGATATACAGGAAGGAATGTTCATCATATTAAGGATTTCATAACCCCTTCCTCCATTTTCAAGGCCAGCAGCATGGCATCTTCATAGTATTCCCTCTAACCCTTTGCTTCTGCTGCCACATCCCTTTTTTCCTCTTTGTTTGACCCTGCCGCCTCTTCGTTCTGTAAGAACTTTTGTGGTTACATTGGGCCCACCCAGATAATCCAGGTGGGTACAGGGGGTTAAGGATGTGGACATCTTTGGGGGACCATTATTCAGTTTATCACAGTAAGGAAATGTAAAAAGAATGATGGAGGCTTGTCAAAATGACACAGAAGCCACCTTGAAAGGGTTCCCACTGGCCCCAAATGAGACAGTTCGAATATCAAAATAGTAATATTCAATATGTTGTAATCTGTTACTAAAATAGGATCCCATGAGTCCACACAGATTAAATAAATAAACAAAAGAGAAGGGAAAAACCTTGCTCTTATGTTAGAATGCAAACAAATAAAAAAACAGGAATAATGGAAATAGAAAAATCACCATCTGACACTCATCACAGTGGTAGCTGGTTCAGCTGGGAATCATCAATAAATGCTAAGGTTGGTGGGTATCAGTTTGATGAGGGACAAGATATTAGCATAGTCTTAGAGGTTTCCCCATAAAATACAAAAGGAAAAAAATGAAGACTTAGCAGGAGAAAGCTGGCAGACAGAAACCTGACCTGTGATCAAGGATAACATCACCAATGATGGGGCAGGTCACCACCATGTGCCTTCTGATCAATGCAATGAGTAGAGTACAGCATTGTTTCTATACTATTCATGCACAGGCTTCTTGGCTTAGTCTGGACATGAGGAAACATCAAATGAACTTATGTTGAAGGAGAGGCCTTACTCTTTAAAGCTATGAAGATCATTAAAGACAAGGAAACTTTGGATAACTATTACAAGTTTAAGAAAACTGAAGAGACACAAGAAGAAATATTACCATGATCCTGGTTTGGATCATGAACCAGTAAGTGAAAAGGAGATGCCAGGAAAGTTGGTGAAACTAATATAAAATTAAATTCAATTAAAAAAAATAAAGATCGCTACTCGTAGGGGAAGATGGCGGACTAGTTAAAAGCAGGGTTCATCTCTTCCAATGTCTGCATTGGAATTACACCCAAATTATAAAATAATCAACGTGGAGAATCACCTGAAGTCCAGTTAATCATAACACCTACATCTGATAATATAAAGGAGCCATATCGAAGCCGATCCAGCATAGGCAACAACCATCAGCAGATTGCCTTGTAGTTCTCACTGGGTAGTCCTGAGCAATCAAAAACAGCAGCTGACCTTGGCCTAGAGGGGAGCCTCTCCCAAGGGGCCACAAAACCAACACATCTGGAGGCTGACACCAGACAACAACAGAGCAACTCCTGACTAATTCCATTAGTGAGACAAACAAAGAGTGGTTGCAGAAAGTACACAAGCCTGTTAGGGCAAATCCCACTCAGTGGAGTCAGCCCCCACACAATAACTCTTATCCTGTGGGTGCAGCTAATTCCCACAATTAGTCAGCCTGACCGTTAATCCCACCCACTGCTATACTAACCACAATAAAGGCTTGGCGACAACAGAAGATCACACACAACCCACACAAAGGTCATGTTCAGAGCTCCCGGCATAAGGCATCAGGGAGAGTGTGCCACTGGGCCACACATCAGGCCATCTGGCTAAGGCTGAGAGACGAAACAAATATTCCTGACACAGACACAAACACAGAGAGGCTAATAAAATGAGAAAACAAAGAAACATGATACAAATGAAACAACACGAAAAAACTGCAGAAAATAAGCTAAATAAAATGGGGGCAAGCAACCTACCAGAGAAAGAGTTCAAAATAATGGTTACAAAGATGCTCAATGAACTTAGGGGTAAAATGGATGAGCACAACGAGAACCTTAACAGAGAGACAGTAAGCATTCAAAAAGACACAGAAACCATAAAAAAGAACCAGACAGAAATGAGGAATGCAATAACTGAAATGAAGAATACACTAGAAGGATTCAACAATAGATTGAACAAAGCAGAAGATCGAATCCTACTTGGAAGACAAGTTGACTGAATATACCCAATCAGAACAACAAAAAGAAAAAAGAATTTTAAAAAATGAGGATAGTTTAAGAGAACTCTGGGACACATGACGTGTAAAAATATATGGATAATGGGAATACCTGACGAGAAAAAGAGAGAGAGCAAGGGATTGAGACTCTATTTGAAGAAATAAAGAAAGAAAACTTCCCTAATCTGGCAAAGGAATTAGACATACAAGTTCAGGAAGCACAAAGAGTTCCAAACAAGAGGAATTCAAACAGACCTATGCCAAGACACATCATAATTAAAATGCCAAAGGTCAAAGACAAAGAGAGAATCTTAAAACCAGCAAGAGAAAGGAAGCTAGTTACTTACAAGGGTACCCCTTTAAGAATGTCTGCTGATTTTTCAATGGAAACTTTGCAGGCCAGAAGGGACTGGCAAGAAATATTCAAAGTTATGAAAAACAAGAATCTACATACACAAATACTCTACCCAGCAAGGCTTTTGATTAAAATGGAAGGTGAGAGAAAGAGCTTCCCAGACAGGAAATAGCTTAAGGAATTCATCACCAACAAGCCATCATTATAAGAAATGTTAAAGAGTCTTCTCTAAAAAGAGAAAGGGTAAAAAAGAAAATAGAAAATAATAAAATGGCAGTAACAATGTACCTATCAATAATCACTTTAAATGTAAACAGATTAAATGCTCTAATCAAAAGACATACGGTAACCAAATGGATAAGAAAACAAGACCCATGCATATGCTGTCTACAAGTGACCCACCTCAGATGAAATGACACTCACAAACTGAAAGTAAAGGGATGGAAAAAGATATTTCACACAAAAGGAAATGAAAAAAAAAAAAAAAAAAGCCAGGGTAGCAATACTTAAAGCAGATAAAATAGACTTTAAAACAAAGGCTTATATAATAAGAGACAAAAAGGGCATCACATAATGATCAATAAAGGAATCAATAATCAAGAAGACATAACTCCAGTAACATATACGCACCCAACATAGGAGCACCTACATACATAAAGCAATTATTGACGGACATAATAGGAGAGATCAATAGTAATACACTCATAGCAGGAGACTTTTACACCCCATTGACACCAATGGACAGATTTTTCCAGGCAAAGAATCAACTAGGAAACAATGGGCCTAAAAGACACACAAGAACAGATGGACTTAATAGATATTTTCAGAGCATTTTACCCCAAAGCAGCAAAATATACATCCTTCTCGAGTGCACATGGAACATTTTCAAGGATAGATCACATGTTAGGACACAAATCAAGTC